AGAGATGGCGTTAAACACAACATGCAAACACATTGCACAGTTTATTGTAGCAGGAACCAGCTGGCTGAGGAGGCAGCAACTTGGCATAGTTTCATAAAAACGCTACAGCAATCCCAATAATCTCTGCTGGGTTGCTTCTAGATGCACCCCCCCTCCCATGCAGAATGAAAAGCATCCTCCTGGACCTGCAGGGGGGGTCAGAGGGAGCTGCTCCTACCTGTGACAGAGGACACTCCTTGGCCAGAGTGCTTTGGTTCATCTCCTTCAGCAGCTCTTTGAGGGCGTTCCTCACGGTGGCGTGGTTCCACTGCTCACAGGGCAGATCTTCCAGCTTCGCAAAGCTACAGCAAATCAAAACCGCACAAAAATACGTCATTCACAGCTTTCCATAGATCAAAAAAGCACAGTCAGTCACAGCAGTCATCGGGGATGTGTTTTACATCGTTAAGATAAATCCACTTCCTCTTGATTAGTGAAAATATCTCCAGGAAATCAAATGTATCGCTTCTCCTTCAGGCAACATAATTATGTTCATAAACCCATAAGCTATCAGATGGTTAGCATGTGTTGTAGATGCAGTAATAAATCAATTAGCTCAACGTTTAACAGAGAGAAGATTATAGGCAGGAATTTTCACTGGTCAGACCCACACTGCAAAAAATGGAAATCATTTTTCAGAAAATAAGTGCATTTGTTCTTGGATTGAGGAAATAAAAGAGACATTTTGCCAATGGAACAAGACAATTTACACTTAAAATAAGGAAACACTATTTTATTGTCTTATTTCAAGTGCATTTTATGTAATTATCTTATTTTAAGAGTAAAAATACTCACTCCATTGGCCATCTATCTCATTTACCTACTCAAATTAAGGGTAAATACACTTATTTTAAGACATTTTTACTTATTTCTGGATCATTTTTGCAGTTTTTCTTTGCAATAAAAAAAAATTTGAAAAGAAAAAAAGCAGGGCTGTTTGTTTGGAAGAGGGAAGAATTTCTTTAAGTTCTACCTTTTATTAGCACAGAAAAATCCTGCAGAAACAGACTGAAAGAGGGGATTGGAACCAAATTAATAAAAGAAAAACACCTAATAACCAGAGAGCCGCTTAGTTTTAACCCGCCAGCAGCAAAGCTTTAGTTCACTGCATAAAAGATCAAGAAATAAGTAAAAATTGTCTTAAATTAAGTGTATTTACCCTTAATTTGAGTAGGTAAATAAGATAATCTGCCAATGGAATGAGCATTTTATACACTTAAAATAAAACAATTACATAACATGCACTTGAAATAAGACAATACAATTCTTTTTTTCTTATTTTAAATGTAAATTATCTTTTTCCACTGGCATAATGTCTCACTTATCTCCTCAATTCAAGACAAAAAGCACTTAAGAAACAGTGACTCATTGCAATTGACATTTTTTACAGTGTTCCTGCGCTTAAAAAACAGAAACTGTCCTTTTACCAAGAATTAGGACTGGGAATCCAAAACTCTAACTTGAATTAATGATTTACTTTTATAAGTAACGTAATAAAACAAATGATGTGTTTATCAGAGGTGACAAAAGTACTCGCATTCTTTACTGAAGGAAAAGTTAGATACTTGTGTAAGAAGATAAAACTACTGACTCCTGTAAAAAAAGGGTCAAAGTAATGAACACAAAAATAAATATGAAGTTTTTGCTTTTGTTCTGTGTTTGTAAAGAGACTCTGGTTTCCATCCAAATTAGAACTTCAGCTGCATAATATAGTTTAAAGTAAAAACACGTCCTGCAATGAGCAGCTGAGTACTTTTACAGCTTTTGAGTTTATCACAGCAATAAAGCTCCATATAGTTTACATTTAAAACAGAACTTGAAATATAATCAAAATCTGGATCTAAAATATAATAAAAGAGTAAAATCACAACAGAAGCTTCAAAGTAGTCCACAATAATGGGACCCAGGTTGACCTATGACCTCAGGAACCATGAAGGCTGGAAGTGATTGGCTGAAGCTCCATTTACAGTGGAAAATGATCTAGAAATAAGTACAAATTTCTTACATTAACTATATTTAACGTTAATTTGAGTAGGTAAATTAGATTGTAATGAGTATTTTAACTCTTAAAATAAAACAATTATATAATATGCACTTGTAATAAGACAATTAAATGTAAATTGTCTTGTTCCATTGGCAAAACCTCCCTTTTACCTTCTCAATTCAAGAACCGATGCATTTATTTCCAGGAGAAATTACTGATTAAGATTTCCTTTTTTTGCAGT